CTTAATCGACTGAGCCACCCAGGCACCTCTCCTGGCCAAAACATTTTAAGGCAAATCCCAGACAACTTGTCAATTCATTGAAGTCTTGCATTGCTAAAAATATGGGCATTTTCTTACATTACCACAGCGACATTTTTACACCCAACGTGATTTACAGTGGTTCCTTGGAATCAGCTAAGACCAGTCAGGAATCGAATTTTCGCGATCGTCTCAGAAATAGCATTTTGCAGTTGGTTTGTTCAAACCAGGATCCAAGCGGGGACTGGATTTTGTAACATCGCTTAAGGCTTTTAATCTAAAGCCATTATTTTTTTCCCTCCTACCCTTGACTTATTGCAGAAACCAGTCTGGTTGCCCTAAGGAACGTCCCACATTCTGATGTTAGCCTGGTTGTTTGTATATGATGTCATTTGGCTTTGTTCTTCTGTTCTCTGTGTTTCCTATCATGGATGCCAGCTCTGGGGGTTAAGAGAAAAAAAAAGCTACTCATTTGGTAACTCTGCGGAGCTGTAAACTAGCACCAAGATCCTTCTCGATCCCCTTACCCATCCCCAAGCCCGCTGTTTCCTCTCCTGGCATTCTCACAGTGCAGTGAAAGAGACTCCTTTATTTTCTGTCACCTTTTCAGAACCACCGTAATGACTCAAGGGTAGGTAGGGGGATGTAAGAATCCACTCATTCCTAATCCACAAAGTATGGATGGGTCTCAAGACATCTAAATTTTAATAGTTATGAATTATCGTGTGTATTCTAAAAAATATCACTAACCCGGCAAACCTACGATTTCAGGACCTTTTTTTTTTTGGTTTTGCTTAAGATGAAGCTAAGTAGAAAGAGTCAACTGGAAGAATAAGAAGCAAATAGTAGCCTGGCAAGGAGATCTGGAAAGAATCGTGAAGGCCAAATTCAAGGGACTGGAGCTTGAGAGACTTCGTAACAAATTGGAAAACATCCGTGCAGGGGCTCTGATGGAGCCGAGATTATAGCTTAATTTCAAAGGTTGTAGACTATCAGCTGGAAGCCAGAACTGGCAGGAGGTTTAGTGAGGGGCTGGTGGCCAGGGCACTGGCCATTTGCCAGCAAATGCAGAACTATTATTCCAATATTTTCACAACCTGAACAGCTGTGCTGGTGCATACCAGTTGAGAGCCATCACGAATGTCAGATTTGGGGGTGAGGTTGGTGTACAGGGTCCAACCTTAAAGGTGTTGAGTGATGCGTGTGACAAACATTCCAAACCAGTCCTTTCCTGTAGAGTTTTCTGCAGTGATGGACATGCTCTGGGTCTGCACTGTCCAGTATAGCAGTCACCGGAACGTGGCTAGTGTGGCTGAGACGCTGAATGTCTTGTGATTTCATTTAAATTAATTAAGAGTTAGGGAGGCCTGGGCGGTTGAGTCGGTGAAGCGTCCGACTTCGGCTCAGGCCATGATCTCGTGGTTCGTGAGTTCGAGCCCCGCGTCGGGCTCTGTGCTGACAGCTCAGAGCCTGGAGCCTGTTTCAGATTCTGTGTCTCCCTCTCTCTCTGTTCCTCCTCCCCACCCCCTCCCCCCAACCTCACACTCTGTCCCTGTCTTTCTCTCTCAAAAATAAATAAACATTAAAGAAAATAATACAAAAAAAATAAACACATGTGACCAGTGGCTGTCAGCACAGGTCCAAGCAAGCAATTCTGTTTGGCCAAGGGATAGGTGAGGCTGGCCGAAGGGATAGAAGGAGGGTGCCTTCTCCATGCTTCGGCTTCCCTTGCAAGAGCCTTCAGGCAAGACAACTCCAAGCAGGATGCATTGGGGGACAGTGAGTGCAGGGGTGGGGTAGGAGAGGTCAGGGAAAACAGGCAGAGGTCTCCGGGCGGGCGGGGTCCCTGATCAGCCCACCCTCTGCCCAGCCAAAGACCTTGACCTTGACCTTCTCTCCCTTCCAGGATGACACAGAACCATACTTCATTGGAATTTTTTGTTTCGAGGCCGGCATTAAAATCATCGCCCTCGGGTTTGCCTTCCATAAAGGCTCTTACTTAAGGAATGGTTGGAATGTGATGGACTTCGTGGTGGTGCTAACAGGGTAAGTGTCGGATGCTGTGCCTCTTAGAATTACCTCGAACTAAGAAGACTGGGGACCCATAACGGTTGGCGTGTCAGGCTGGGCTCAGGAAGGGCTGAGTCCCCGTGTTCTTCTTCGATATGCGTCTAGAGCCTTCTCGCACCCACCTCTGGAGCCTGGCTGCCTGCGACGGCAAGATGCTTTCGGCCACAGTTAGAATTAGGGCTTAGGAGGAGCTGACAGCTTCCAAAGAGCTTTACGTGCGTTCTCATTCAATCTTCTCGACGACCCAATGAATCAGGAAATCTTAATACTCCCCTGTGACCACAGGGAGAGCCAAAGCGCAGATCTGAACTGGCCAAAGGTCACCTAGCTAGCGGAGCTGGAATTTGAACCGGAACTCGAGTTTTTAGCAGTTGGCGCGCACGTGGTTCTTCTGCCTCACTTAGCGACGCCTTTCTTCCGAGGCGGTCTTTATTTCCAGCCGGTAAATGTCTGTGGAGGACTTCTGGGGGCAACGGTTTGTGGTAGAACTGTGGAGAAAACCAGTCTAGGTAAGGTACAGTGACTGCCTCCGAAGGGTTTTCAGACCTGCGTATAGCGCACCGTGGTTGAAAGGTGACTGTGTATACGCTTTCCTCCAGGGACCGTCTGTGAGGCGACACGACCTGTTACGACAGCAACAGAAAAAACAAAAACTGGGTAATGTCTTACACACGGCGGACGTTTATTTCTCACTGAAGGTCCCAAGTGGTCGGTCCCTGTCGGCAGGGCTCTGTCCTCCAAGCAGGGATTGAGGGAACCCAGGCCCTGGCCACGCTGAGGCTCCTCATTGTTGGCCCACATCTTCCAAGGACTCTGTGCTTCTCTGCGTCACGGCACAGACGAGAAACAAGCAGGGACAGGGGTACTCGGGAGGTTTTACGGGCCCGGCACCTGCCTCTTCCTTTCGTATTCTTTCGGCTAGAATTTATTCACGGGACACACATGACTGCAGGGGAAGCTGGGAAACATCAGACTGCGCTTAGGAGGAAAGGGAGACTGACTTGGTGGGGAGCCAGTCAGTCTCTGTCGTGGACCCGAGAGCCCTGTATTAGATGCCAGCGTAGGCAATGCTGTTTCATGCGAATTTCTGGCCCGTCGGCCCACCCAGTCCTCTCCTCCAAGCTGAGACTGGCTCTTGTCCTCCAAGACCCCTATTCACCGCTGTCCTCTGTGGGGTCACTGCTGTCCTCTGTGGGGTCACCGCTATCCTCTGTGGGGTCACCGCTGTCCTCTGTGGGGTCACCCCTCTTCTCTGTGGGGTCACCACTGTCCTCTGTGGGGTCATCATTCTCCTCTGTGGGGCCACCCCCCTTCTCTGTGGGGTCACCCCTCTCCTCTGTGGGGTCACC